TATTTCAAGCTATTGGAGTGTCTAAATGTGCTGTACTGTTATCAAATGATTTTGTAATTCACTACATTTATAAAAAGAAACGTTTTGAGTCAATTCAGGATTCTTCTTCTATATCGGATCGGTATCAGGCGACACTAAACCACAGATATCTGTATCGGTATCGGAAGTGAAAGAAGTGGATCGGAGCATCGCCAGATGAAAGTACAGAAAACTGTTGATTGTTGCTTGGTATGGTGGAAGAAAATCATGCTGTGGGCCTCAGACTGAAAAACTCTTAGTGGATGATTTAAAATACTGGGAATAAATTTTTAAAAATGAAAAAAAACTAATGCCCTCAGTTGGAAAACCAATAATGGGTCGACACCAAGTTTTCAGCACAATAAAGGTTCTGCTACCAGTCATTTTTTTTAAAACACCATTTCTTTACATGAGATTTTCTCAAAATAAATAAATCTACTCAGCTTACATGTTAAAATCCAAAACCTAAGCAAGTTCATTCGAGTCTTTATCTTAACCAGGGTTCTTACTAAATGTGACCAGCGCTGTATATCTGCAGGTACATCAGACCAACATCTAGCTGACAGGCTGGAGGAGGTGAAGGGGGCTGGACGGGAGACGGCTCAGTGATTTATTAGCTCGCCTCCCGGTGCCGGTGCTCAACAAGCAGCAGGGACAGCGCAGGGGGAGTGGACTCTGTTTGAGCCGCCTGTGACGTGGGGAAACGGGTAATAAGCCAGAGTTTGACGAGCCCTCTGAGCCTGAGATGAGACAACCACTCTGAAAACCTGACCGGCTGGCCTCAGGCTACAGAGACAGAGAGAGAAAGAGAGTGAAATCTATGAGGGGGGGAAAGTGTGACAAAAGCATCAAATATTCCAGAAATTTGTTTTAAAAATAAAAGTCTTCCTCTCAGCGATCTTTCATGTGAAAAGCTACAACTAGAATCCCTCAGGCTTCCTATGGACAAAAACTCTCTTTTCCTTCCCTCAGCTTCCGCCACCATCACTGGATGTCAAGACAAACCAATAGAAGCAGAAAGAGCTTTAAAAAAAACGGAGCATCCCTCCTCCCAACCATTAACTGAGTGGCTTCTTTAATCCATTAAGATCTGACCTTCTATCTCCACTTGCTTTGTCTTCGTAGAGCTGCAGGGAACGTACAAGTAGCTCGTTTTGTCTGCAGAGAAATGCTGCCAACAAATATACACACCAGGCATGGTGCGAACTAGATTCCCTAGAATGGGAAAATACTTTTTTTCTTCTGGTTGTATAAACTATCCATCAGTTTTCCTGTTGATGATATCTCAACCTAGTGACACACTTTTACTCCCAAGCAATTGTATCTTTCCAAAAAGGTTCAGTTGCAGCGTTCCTGTACTGAAACAAAAAACTCATGACCACGACTTGCTATAACTAATTAGTTCCCACAAGCTACTAATTCATGGTCACTATTTACTTATTTTATTTCTCCCATGTCTCCATTCGGGCTCCATATGAAGACAAGCTGCTGCTGTGAAACTTGACAGGCAGGCCCGACCCGACCTTACTGGAACAGGGATCACCACCGGGCCACAACCAGTCAGTCAGGCTGCGCCGGACTGACGGCGGAAAGCCTCTGCATGGCAAATAAGTTTGCCTTATTCAGCCTGAAACCTGACGATGAGGGACAAATCTGCTGCAAACAGCAGCTTTTCATTAATAGAGCCCAAACATTTATTCATCTTTTAAAACAATTAGACAATCACAAAAATATGGAGAAAAGACAAAACATGTACAGAACCCTCTGTCATTTCTGACATGCAGTTTAGTTATAAATGCTCAACTTTGAAAGCCAGGAGTATCTAGAAACTAAATCCTATTGTCCTAAGCATGAATATGAAATGACATGCAGGCCAATTAATCTTAGTCATAATTGAAACCTGAAAGACAAGAACACATGACATTCCAGCAGCAGCTGTGTGTTGATCAGGAAATTACTCGTCCAAACTTGCCTAGTCTTAAACTAAATCTTCATTTTTTGAAGCAGTTTACAACTTTGGTGACTTTAGTTTGTTTACAATTTCAGAAAACAGCAGGATAGTGACTTAGTGACTTGTTTTTTATTTTTGACCACAGATCCAATTCCACCTGAACTTAAAGCTCCCAAGAGACCAAACAGGAAGTGAAATTGAGCTTTTTGATTCCCTAAGAAACCAAAATATTGATCAATAAAATCATGCTAATCAATGAGTGATGTGGAAATATAAAGCATCTAAATTCAATATAAATCTATGTTAAGCAGTTTTGCCATTAGACTTTTATCATTTTAAAAGCTGAAAATGAAAGAAAAATATCTTAAAAATAAAGTCTAGACATATTCCTACTAGTCATTTTCCTTTTATTGTATTTGTCCAGAACTTAACGCTGACAAAAGCAAACTTTTACTTTTCAAAAACTGCATAAGAATGCATGAGACTGGACATGGCTACATGTTGCTTCCTACTGAAACCTGCATTATCGTCACTCAACTGCCTGCAGGAGACAAACTCACCCAACAGGTTTCAGGATTACCAGTTATCTGTTGGTAAACTCCTGAAACATTGTTAGAAAATTATTACCCTGCAGATGCTTCTGTATGTTCAGCGGATTTTCTTAAGCAAGTTTGCAACAGTTTGAATTACAGAAAACGAAAATAAAAAATATCTCCTTACCACCAGTTTCTGCACACAGATGGTAAGCTGGATGAAATGAGGCTGATTATTTCTGGTCACAGAAATAATGTGAAAACTAGCAGACAAGATGTTTTACTAAATTGTTATTATTATTATTTTGTTTGGGTGTATTGTCATCTTTGGCTCTTTAGTTGCAAGAACCTTATATTGGCTCAAGCCCTTTTGTTTCAGGTTTAAATATTCTACATTTTTCTTAGTTTTACGTGCATGCAAGCTTTGATGATAATTATTTATGACATTATTGTCTCAGAGGAAATGAGTGCGATACGTCCTGTTTGGAGCCAAGATGAGTTGTTTTTGTTTTCAATCAGAAGAAATTCATTCAGGAATATGAAAGATTGAGAAAGTGACGTTTGGCAGAGCGGAGCTGAAATCAGCGGAGCGCTGCCAAACTCAGCATGAAGCCTTGATAAAGAGGAACCTCAGAGAGGTTCTTCATCAGCTGGAGCTGCTGCAGCCTGATCATCATCATCATCATCATCGCACATGGAGGTCGGCAGCAGGAACAGGGGAGGAGCACACAGGGCTCTGAACTGATTAATTACAGATACAACTTTAAAAATACAACCGGGGTAGCGCTGAATGATAACAGCTGATGTAATTCATTTATTTGATTAGCTAAAGTACTTGGAGTTCTTTTTAATACCATTTGATTAAATCTTTGTCTTTAAAATCAGTTCTTGTGGCTTATTGATGATAAATATTGTTGATAGAACTATTTTAGATATGATTTATAAGTTACAAAGATGTATTCTGAAATTGACAAAGCAAAAAAATTGACTGAAACAATATATCCAAATATATCCGACGCAATAAGCAATTAATCGCATGATAAATTAAAATGAGATCAATAATTTCTATCCTGATTATTAATATTTTCTGAAGGGTCATTTTGTTTACAGAGACTTTATGACCTATTTCTTTTATGGTTTTGGTTGTTGTGTTTTTTTATTTCCATTTTATCTCTCGTTTTTTGTTGCCATGTTGTATTTTGGATAATTAAAACATTCCAGATTCAAGTGTTAAGTGTTCTTTTGTCATTTAAATTTATCACAGGACGAAAGTAGCTGAGCTGTTAATTAAGAGTCATTTTCAACGAGCAACATTTTCAATTTGGGCTGGAAAAGAACTGTGACTTCTTCTTTTCTTTTTTAAATCAGCTGATATATCTTTAAATGTATCATCTAGCCTATGTTTACAACACACTAACCAATATCTGGTTAGTGTGAATATTAAATATGTGTATATAATCTGGTATTGTACAGACAAAACTGATTTATTGATCAAATAATATTTGAAAACAGCTATAATTTTGAAAGCACTACTTCTAGATAGGGCCACATAAAAACTTCTGGTGGGCCAGATTTGGCCCATGTGCCTTAAGTTTGGTACTCGTGAGTTAAACTGGCAGATGCAGTGGTCAGATGATATAAAAATGGAAATGTTATGGCTCATATGCGAAACGCTATACATGGTACATATCCGTGGGGTGAAACACAGTGGTGGCTGAATCATGATGTGGGAATGCTTTACACCAAAGGGGCCAGGGAAACCGAGCAAAGTGAACAAACGGAGCAATGATCTAATCCTGGATAAACATGTGGTAACAGCTGCATAGGACTTCAGACCCGGGTGGAGGTTCACCTGCAACCCTAAACATGCAGCCAGAGCTTTAGATCAAATGGTGTTCATGTGTTAGAATGGTCCAATCAAAGTCCAGACCTCAGTCTGAGAATCTGTTGCAAGACTTTAAAATCTATATTCAGACAGCCTCCATCTAATTTGACTCCACTTGAGCTTTTTCAGCTGCTTTATGCATGAATTATGTATCCTGAGACAAAATATCTCTAAAGTTAAAATAACAGAGACAATAAAATGCAGTTCTGCCATCGCAAATATTCACTACTTTACGTTTATTGTTTAAAATCCCACATTTTGTGGTTGTAACGTGGAAAATGTAAAAGTTCAAGTTTTTTTTTTTTTTTTACTCTATATAAAATCTTGGTTTCCCCCAAAAGGTCCTCAAGAAAAAGCACATAAGAAATATTTGTGACTTTTCTTGGAAATACAACTTTCTGCTTAGTTTTTACGCCGCTTTTTTAAACCAAGTTAAATTACATTCCTTGCATGATTTTCACACTGAACCACTCAGTCGGGCTTAAATCAAAGTACCTAAAAACTGTGCTCTCCTTTTCTACGACTGTAACTTTTTTCTGTGAGCTGTAAAACCTCTGGCATTCAACTGAACAAACCCTTTCTCCCCCTGTGTGGCAGATCGCCATGAACTCACCTGCCAGAATTGCTTTTCCAGGATGAGTGAGTTTCGCTCTTGCCGGAGCCGCTGCCGCCAGACACCGCGGTCTGCAGAAGGGGCTGAAAAATGCGCCTTTATCCTGCATGATTAGACAATAAAATCTAAAAAAGATTTTGAAAAAATACTTGCAGATCTAAGGATGGAGTTGTTGTTGTTTTGGGGTTTTTTTCCTGGACAAACCAGATTTTTCTCTTCTATTTTTTCCTGTGAGTGAGGAAAAGCGCGCTGTGGCTGGTGCGCTCCCGGGCTGCAGGTGATCTGAGCTGCGCCCGGAGAATCCCGGATATCAGGAGTGACAGTGGGCGGATACAGTCCAGGAAGTTGGCACCGACTATTTTCAATATCTGTTGATCGCCACCGTGGAAATATCCTCCCTGGAAGGTTGTGCGTAATCCTCATCGGAAGTAACGATGGATAAATATTTAGTTTTATGTGTTAATGAACATCCATGAACTTCAGAAGCAGGACAAGAGGATTTAGTGGCTTCCTTTCTGGAAGGGACAATGATAATAATAATAATAATAAAAATTTTAAAAAGGGTGGGGCTCAGCATCTCCTCTGTTTATCATAAATGTAGCACAAGAAGAAGGAAGAGGGGGATGGATCTGATCTTAATCGTTTACTTAAGCATTTGCTTCTTTAATCAAACTGATTTATCTCATAACAGCTACAAACATCCAACCACGCCCTCTCTAGACAAAGAGGCTGGAGCTCTGGGAGACTCCATCAATCATGTCCTGGTTGCTCAGTTACAGAAATGTCAGTCTGGTCCAAATCGACGGTGTAAAACCACACGAACCCAACAATAACATCCCTCTTGAAATTTCAACTCATTTGTAAATAAAAATCACACGAGGAACAAGAATAGACAGCGCTTCAGTGTCAACTTAATTTTTCTTTCTGCCAGGTTAAAAAACAATGTTCAAGAGAATTACAGTCGCATTTTGATAAATCAGGTTTAGTTGATGCACAGAATTATATATTTCAAGTAAATGTTAATGTGGCTCAAAGCTAACGCCCCAAAATTTTATAATCAGGAAATGTAGAACCTATAAAAACAACTTTTTATGAAAAATTACATTTTATGGCTTAGTTATTCCCTACAGTCTTGAAAGTTGTTCAGCAGACAATCATTGCCCAACTCAAAAAGGAAAGCAAGCCACAAAGATGCTTACAGAGTGTTGTATCCAGGCATATTTATGAAAAGTTGAGTGGAAGAAAAAAGCAATGGCAGAAGAGAGACGAACAAGCAACAGGTACAAATCCATTTCGACAGGATTGTGAAGCAAGTTGCTCATACGGCTCCACAGTGTAATTCAGAGATTAAGATGTAGAGGAGGATTAGTGAAATCTGACTTTAGCCTTCTGAGATTAAAACTCAGATTTCTGGAAAAAAAAAAAAAAAATTATGGAGACGTTTAATGGCGCCAACAGCTTGTTCAGAGATCCTGGTGTTACTGTGTTGATTGCCCATTAAACTCACCTGATTATTGAAACAGGAAACAGAGAAACGCGAGACAACAATACAGATGAGCTAACGACGGTTAGCAACCTGGACTAATCACCTCCATGTCCTGCTGCATGGATGCAGTAATTAATGCAAAAGTATAAATAGAAAACACAATATAAAGATGTTGTTATTTCTATTAAAGAGCTGAGAGAAAAATGAAAACCACTTTGAGCAAACTTGTCTCAAGACTTTGCCATTTATTAAGCTGTTTTTTTTTTTTGCCATTTGTCTTTTTCTTACAAAAAAAATCTTTATACCTTTTTTTAGGACTACAACACATTATAGACAATACATATGGTGCTTCATACTATTTTACTTCTGATCTGTAAGGAATTTCATCACATTTAAATTATACAGTTTTGTCTTTTTTTACCTAACTGGCACCTCCTTGAGACTCGAAGCTTCACCACATCTTTTTTTGTTTGTTTGTTTTTTTATTTGGTGGGAAGGTTTTATTATACATCTTTGTTTTTGACACAAAATCTGTAATACTTGATATACTTGAGTGTAACATGACAGTTGTGCTCCTGGTTGCAGTATTATTATTTGGCAGCACATGCACATATTTATGATTTTACCTCCTTTCTTTCATGGTTTTTGTCACACCCATTCCGACGTTCCGAACTTCCACTTTCCGGGCTTTGAGATCAGATCTACGGTGGGTGAAAGTTTTATTGTGTCCACAAAAGCTCCAAAGGCTCCACACACCCACGCACACGCACACATTCACAGACTGTAATTCTTATTCACAAGTGGTCAATAGTCTGTACACTGCAAATACTTGTACCTGCTGTGAAAGGACACAGAACGATTGCACAGCGACTGTCATTCAAAACAAAGCATGACACAGATGTGAATTCAGATGTGAGACAAACAAGCCGCCTCCTTAGATTAAATAAGGCCGCAACAGTGCTTTCAAGAGGAAGGTAGAAAAGCAAACACATGCCTCCCACCTTCTGCTGCTTCTCAGAAAAGTCTCTTTTTTATCAGTGCGAAAAAACAAAGAACCAAAAGCTGCTCTATGGTTAACAAAGTCTACATGGAACAGCAAGAGGACAAAGTAGTTTGGTGCTCCACTGGCTGGTGAGAAACGACTTCATGCTGTTTAGATTTGTGATGCAAGTGGGGGGAAAAAATGGCCGGGAGGTCATCAGATTCCTCACAATGTGTCTGAGGCCACTCATCTAAACGGGGCGTGAAGAAACTTGGGACTGCAGTTTCAGTGAGCGCAGGCGGAAACTCTTCAGACTCTGCAGAATCAGCCGGGGCTCGGAGCAGTGCGGTTCACTTCAGGTGTGTGCGAGCTTTTCAGGTGAACGGAAACCAGGAGAGACAGATGGAATAAGATGAGGAGTTGGGGGCGTTTACATGTTGAAGCCGTAGGCTGGTTGGGCGGGGTAACCAGCGGCAGCGGGAGGAGCGCCGGCGGCGGGAGGAGGGTAGCCGTAAGCCGGGTACGCTGGCTGAGCCGCCACAGGAGAGGCAGCTGCAGTCAGCATCAACTGCTGGCCTGGCAACACAGAAAAAAAACTGTGGTTACAGAGGAACAAATAAAATATAAAAAGTAGCACAGAAATCAGGCTTTTCAAAATTTAGGCTACAATAAAACAAAAGCTGCAATTTGCCATATATCTTTAATAAATCAAGTTCCTCAACCTCCTCCCTGAAGCTACTTTTGCAACCTACAGAAAGGCGCCACTTCTCTTGAGAAACAACCAATCAGAGGCAGGAGGAGGGTCTTAGCATTGTCAGTCACACCCACATACATGCTGCTAAAAGTCCGAATAGCTGAGAAAAAACTTTGCATTCAAGGAAAACCCATTTATCGTCATTGGTGGCTTTGTTATCGGGAACTAGCTTTAGCATAAAAGACATCAAGGGTGACGGGATGAGCAGCATTGTGAAGTTTACTGTTTCACTCATATCTTATTTTACTAAATGGTGCCAACATGTGGTCATTCCTGGTTAGTTATCAAAAAAGCAGGAGAAGAAGTAGAAAAACTGGAAGTACAGCACAGTTGCTGCCACATGGCAGCTCCTCAGCCCTGCTCATGCCATTTTCTTGCCTGCTAAAGCAACATCTTTGAGTATTATAAGTTGAATTAATCATATATGAGAATAGCATACATGTTCAATTGTGAAAAAAAATGTATATTTTTATGTTTGTAGTAAACTCGTTCTAGTATTACCTGAAGCAAAATTGTAACATTTCTGCCACTTTTATCACTTTATATTGAGTTGAATTTTAAAGTGACAGTTAATTCACTTTATTCTTACCAAACACCATTGGCTGAGGCTCCTTCACGTCATCATCTGTTTTCCTCTGGCTTTCTGCCTCCTCTAGTTTGTCCACCTGGGGGCAGCAGAGAGCACAGATAAAAACAAAAAAATCCTCCACTTTGTCCTAACAGTCTGAGATCATAACCTGAAGGTATCCTGCAGAAATCTGTCTATTCAAAATTATGTACATACGCAGTTTAAATGTTTTACTGTGCTGGATTACCTTGCGACAAAAAAACATTAGTTGTTTAAAAGATGGATTTTTGCAGAGCACCTACATTTGTTAAGATCTCAGAAATGTACAGAGTGCATTTAAATGTCTTCTTTTCTCTCTCAGAGAACTTAAACTGTAAAACTCCAGCAGCAGAGGAACAGTTACCCTCATTTTTCTTCACATCCACTGGATAAATATTAAAAATGAAGTTTCAATTGCAAGTTGTCAACCTCTTTTTAGACATTATGCTACAAACACACTGTTACTGACAGTGTAGCTACGGCTACCGAGGAGAAGATGACATGCAGGACTCTAAAACATCTTCCAGTGGAAATGTTACAGGATAGAATAAAGGGTCAGCTCACCAAAGTTGCATGTAAACAAGACACATTTGTTGCCGTATTTAGGTAGAAAAACTGATTGGTGAAATGCAAGGTGTTTAGAACAATAAAGGCGTTTATAATAGAAAAGATTCAGATATGTGGCTTTCATTTTATCACTAACAACAGAAAGACCATTCTTAAATATGTGTGAACTGGCCCTTTATAGGCAGGATTATAACACATATCACAGTTAAAGAAATATTATATTCTATATTGGGAGCCTATATACATGCCTAAATGCAGGTGGCACATTTCCAGCTGGCTCACTATCATAAAATGCAGAGCTTTAACATGCATCTCATTCATAGCTGTGGGCCAACACTCCTCTGATATCAACTAAAGCTGAGGCTACAAATCAGAAGCTCACATTTGTCAGGCAGGAATCCAGTTTTTATAACCCGAGCTGCTCAGAGTTATTTAGAGAAATTGTGCTAATTGCATGGTAGGTACAGCTGGATATGAAACAGTGGTGCACTGCAATCAGAAAGGATTTTACAAGAACTAAAGAAAGAAAGAGTTTAAAAAATAATGATTGAAAAGGTTAAAATCCACATGAAAAGGAACCTAACTGATAGTGAAAGTGCAAACGCTTTATTTTTAAATTAATGTTTTCTGGGGATAAAAAAAGGACCTCTCAAGGAACAGAAGAAAGGAGGCTCACTCTTCATTTGTTCGCAGCCTGTAGTTAAAAACTACAAATCTTTCCCTGCAGGTAGAAACATGGGGCTGCATCTAATAAGCTTTTGAGTGGTGTGTTTTTTTTCTGAAATCCCCTTTGCATTATAACTCTGCATTTAAGGTCTCAGATCAGAGAGTTTGGAATATTAAGCAGCCGTCTTCACATCATGACAT